ATGGTACAAAGGTGGGCGCCAAGATCCCTCTGGGATCTCTTTTTTATAGAAGCCCTGCAAGGTTCATGTATGATTTCCTTTTCAGAAATGGTTTATCAACACTATAGTTTTGCTGTAAAATCGATGTCTAGTGAATAGGTACAGTTTTTGGCAGTGGTACAAGGATTGTTAATATAATTATAGCCAGAATAGGTTTATCACCTAGACAACCACTAAATTAACACTGAAAATAATAAATAATCATAACAAGTACATTTCAGTTGGAAGAATACAAACATGTTTCTTACCATATGGTCCTTTTGCTGAGTCCTCTGATGTTCTAGCTCCTAGAGGTTCCAAAGATGTTTTCTCGGGGAGATCTTTTCTGGCTGCAGTTGTCGTGAAAAGTGGAAATAATATCCTTTGTCCTTTTGCTTTTCGTTCACTTAATTTTGCTGAGAAATTCTTTGGGTCCTGTTCTTCGCGCATTTTTTTCAAAGTTTCATCTGCAGTAGATAAACACTATCAGCTGTAACAATTGAATGGCTGTACGTTACTAAAAAAATAACTTTGTTTCTGTTTAAGATAGTTTTCTTATTGTCAGCACATAAAATTGTCCTTACCTTCAGTATATAAGATTTTTTTTCTTAACAGCATATAAGATTTTTCTTACTGTTAACATGTCAGATTTCTCTGTCAAATTACATAAGTCTTTACCATATAAGTTCTCTCTAACCCTCAGCATGCAAAATATTTTCTTATCTCAGCATGCCAGATTTTTTCTTACTATCAACATGCCAGATTTTTTCTTACCCCTCATCGTTCAAGATTTTTTCTTACCCTCAGCATGCAAGATTTTTTCCTACCATCAACATGCAAGATTTTTCCGTACCCCCAGCATGCACATTTTTTTCTTACCATTAACATGCAAGATATTTTCTTACAATCAGCATGCAAGAGTTATTCTTACCATCAGCATGCAAGATTTTCTTCAGAACAAGTGTTCTCCTTGTAGTTTGTATAAAACTGATCACTTCCTCTATGAATCTAGCGTCTTCCTTCTGGTCAATGACAGTACATCTGAGGTTCTCAATGCGATCCTGTTTAATTCTGAATCTTTTAAAGGTTGAGAAGTATTCTCTTTCAGTGATGATTTTCTTGCTGCTCAAAGAGTCGTATATCTCCACAGGGTCTATATATGATTTGACCAACTCCCACCGTTTTGGTGTGTTCATCAGTTCCATGAATTCCGAGGCTTTAAGTAAGAAGAAGAAAATGATCTTATACCAATAATCATTTAATTAGATCCTTTTCAGCCCAGCTAGTTCTGAGGCTTTACGTAAGAAGAAGAAGATCTTATACCAATTATCATTTAGTTGTATTCTTTTCAAACCAGCTACAACTAAGGATATATAGGGATTTGCCAGACACCAATGTTTTAGACATTGCACAACCAACAATGGAAATCTTGTTTAAATTGAGATTGTGCTCACCACCATATGCAAGCCATCTTTAAAGAAGGATGATGTTACAAATATCAGTTACTATGAAGTGAAGACTGCTAAACTGTAAATAACATGTAATGTATTCTGCAAGGAGAAAAGGATATTTACCTTCCATTTTTTCTGTTCCCTCGGGATCCAAGTCCTTATCAACAAATTCCATATCTACAAAAAAAACTCAGTTTAAAAATATATTTTGTTTTCATAAAACACATTGCTTATGCATATATAACTGAAAATGTACATATCTTTTTTTTTTTTT